GCCATCCACCTCTTGCAGCGTTTTGAGTCCTGGGGCTTTTAAAACCGCGCTGCTAGCGGTCTCTGCCCGGACCCTGCCTCTTCACCGTCAGCCAGCGCTTCTTCGGCTGCGGAGCCTGCTGCGGTCTGAAACCAACAGTGTCCGAAATCCGGGCAGGAAAGACTCTCGGGTCGAATGGCTCTTCCCCCGTCTTCTGCTTTTGTCTGAGCCCAAGACTGGCTTCCAGAAAAACAGCACATGAATCTTGCGTCTCCCTCCAGTCAAGCCGCGCTGGCACACAAGCAGGTAGATTTATGGTGCCCTGCCCCCATCCCACCCCACCCCCAGCCGGCCTCAGTCGGAGGACAAAGCGTCCCGGGGCCATTGGAATGCTAATGTCTGGGAGCCAGGCCGCTGGGCTGGCACAAAGGTAGGCGGGGCCCGTGGCGCACGCGACCCCACAGGCGCACACCGTCCCTTCTCTCCCTTGCGGACTACCGGGCCGTGTGACCTTGGACAAGTCTCCTTGCCTCAGCTAATCCACAAGAGAAGTTGGAAGGAGTTCCTAATACCCTTTCGCTGGGTTTCTGGGTGCCTACCACAAGACTGACACAAGGTGAACGGCACCACAGTCCCCTTAAGACCGGAAACTGTGAAAAAAAAAAAAAAAAAAAAAAAATCAGACCCTCCCTAGCTAACCACAGGTAGCATTTCTCAACAGTCTCTCTTGTAGAACCAGAAACCCAGACTGTCTGAACCTGATTGTCCTGAGAGGTTCTGGAAGGGCAGGGGCGTGTGGTGACATTGGGTGGTCCTGGGTTCCGGCGCCCCTCTAGCCCGTTGGAAGAATATAGGCAAGTCAAGTCCCTCCTCCTCCCTGAACCCCTAATTCCTCATCAGTAAAGTAGGGATGACAAAAATAAATTATTAAATCGTGGTGAGGTTTCAATGACGGCAAAGCTTGCTGCCTGACACAGAGCAAGCCCTTGTGGCGTCTTAACTATTTGTAATAGTTGCTTGTATTTTTCTCTGTGGTTTCCCTTTTAACTCCCACCTCCTTTTTATTTTAAAAAGACTCCTTTTGAAAATGCCAGCCTGCCTCAGTAGTACCAGGAGACACCAGGGAAAGGCTTCCTTCTTTCCAAGCCGAGGCTGAGAAGGAACGGGAAGAAGGAAGAGAAGCCCCTTTGTGGAGGCCTCCTCCAGCCGGCCCTGGGTTTAGGAACATTACACACTCAACCTCCAAAGGCCCTCAGGGACTGGCCCAAGGTCACACAGCTTGACAGTGTGGAGCACTTCAAAGCCAGGGCGTGTGGTGTAGAACAGGCTGGGCACCTGGATTCAATCAGCCCTCTTTTCTTCTCTACTCAGAGCCTCCCAGGCTGTGGGGTATGCACCTGTGCACCTTCAATCTGATCACTTCCTTGGGGTCCTCCTCAATTCAACTCCGTGGAAATATTACAAGGGGTAGACAGAGATGAGCCATGTCAGTGTCTGTACTAGCAGAGGGCAGGACCACTGAGCGTCCGGAGGGGAGATGAGCGTCTGGGCGTCCCTGGGAACCTGGCTTGTCTTGACCCCTCTGGGGGGCTCCTCTTGGCTCTGACCTCCATTCTCCCAGTCTTACCCCTACTCATGCCCACCCACCCCGAGGGGCCCCCAGTGTGCACTCACACACTCACACTCAAACTCAGCACCCCACTTGCTCTCTAATTACCAGGATCGTGGTGCTGTCTCAGGTTCTTCCTCCCCAGCATTCCTCAGCAGCTGCCTTCACTGGGCAGGGCAAATTATACCGTAGCCCAGCCATAAAAGCCACTTTCCAAAAAAAGAAGCTTTAGGGCCCCTGAGAGACGCAGCTGAACCTCTCACCTGGCAGTGCCTGACTCAGGAGGTGATGTCTGGGCCATGAGCGACAGAGCCTGGTGTCCCTTTAAGCAGGGAGTACAAATTCTCATCCCTCCCTCCTGCTCTCCCTGACGTCAGCTGGAAGGCGTGTGAGTGAGTGAGGGGCCAAGGTACCGCCCGCGCGAGCACACACACACACACACACACACACACACACACTCACGCACATCTTCCAGACCCATCCCCTGCCTGCCAGCTCCACGAGCCAGAGAGAAGCAGAGCGCGGACGCCGCAGGAGGCAGTGCCTGGACCCCAGCTGCCCAGGAGAGGTGAGGGGCTAGATGGGGCCTGAGGACACTGTGCTGGAAACTGTGGCTTTGGCCAGGCCGAAGGAGAGAGGTACAATGTGAAGGTGGGGGCTGAATCAGCCCAGTTCAGCTTACAGATAGTGTGTTGGGGGTATAGAGGATCCCACCTGTCTCTCCCTCCCTCCTTCTCTCCCCGTGACCCCTAAATGAGGTGAGGCTGTGTGGCTCCCGTGGGAGCATGTCTGTGTCTGTGTCTGTGTCTGGGACCTGCGTCTGGCTCAGGAGGCAGAGAGCAGCAGATACCTGCCAAGCCGCAGCCTCCTGTCTGGGAAGCAGCGGGAGAGAGGACCGCCTTGACCGGAGAAATCCCAGCGCCGCTTCCAGATGCTGAAAGCAGAATGCAGCAGGGACCCTCGCTGGTCTTTCCCCTGGAATGTGGGGCTGGGGCTGGGAAGGGACGGGCTGGGACAGGCAGACAGTTGGACCTGGAGCAGTTGTCTTATCCTGACTCTATTTATTCCCCAGTGTGATGGGGATAATTGTGTTAGTTAGCTTGGAGAGGTGGCTCCGTGTGGTTATTCTCTTCCCCCCCGGGTACCACCCCACCCCGAGCCCTTGCTTCTTGCCTGCCTGCTGGTCTGCTCTGACCTCCACCCTTGCCAGGGCACAGCCTCCGGAGGGCAGGGGTGATAAGCCAGGGACTGCTAGGCCACCCCTGTCATGGGATACAGGGACTTAGGGTGGCCTTGGCTGGTGCCAAGCCCCTGAATGGCCTGACCCTGGCACAAGGAGTCCAGGTGGAGATAAGGGGTGACACTGGCACCCACAAGGAGACAGCAGGTTCCTGCCAAGCTGCCAGCCAGCAGGCTCTTCCCAGGGAGAGGGGAGGGGGACACAGAGTGAGAACAATAATAAATACAGAGTGTGAACTGCTGCATCCACTGGGGCTGGGGGAGGGGAGGAGGAAGTGTGCCCGGCGGGGGGTGGGCAACCTCTCTGAGAGCCTGGCATCATGCCGCCTGGCTGTGACCCGGCAGGGGCCTCTCCCTGGGAGAGGGGGTCTCCAGCTTTCTGGGAGATGCGGAACTGGTTTCCCAAACCTCACTCCATCCCAGAGTCCTCTGGGCCCTCCAAATTCTGAATGTTTCCTCCTCCCAGTTTTGCCCCACCCCCCCATTTCCTTGAAGTATTTTCCAAAAATGTCTGTTTTCCGTGTCTGCCCATGTTGACCCATCCTCACTCCCTCCAGAAAAAAAAAAAAAAAAAAGACAGCTATAGACAGGAACTGCCTGCCTGGTGGCCTGGGAAAGGCCAGAGGACAGTTTTGGCCGCAGATGGCTCTCCCAGGCTTGGAGAGACATGGCTAGGCAATGTTCGTGGATGCGCAGAGGGATTCCCTGAGGGGGACCTGGGGACACTCTTGGATGGCTGGTGGGGAGGGGACACCTGCCAGCCAGTCTGGAGTAGTGCCCCCCAGGGTGGCGCCCAGCAGAGGGCGCTCAGGACCTGGCTGAGCCAGTCTTGTCCACAGTCACAACTGGGGCAGCTGGGACCCAGAGCCTTGTAGGAATGGGGCTTGGGGCGGTTCAGACCTTTGTCCATGCTGAGCAGCAAATTGGGAGGCTAAAAGTAGTAAGGAGCTCTTCTGCCCCACAGCCAGCAAAATGACACTCCTGGGCTGGGGGCCTGGCATGGCACACCAGAAAGCTTTAGGGTCACACTGATTTGAGTTCAAGTTCAGACGCTGTATGTATGACTTTGGCCAGTCTATTCCTCTCTCTAGGGGGTCTCAAAATGGGAAAGTGACTTGCTAGGGTCGTGCAGCCAAGCACAGGTGGGACTGGGGTGCGAACTTGGTTCTCCCAGTGCTGTCCTGGTTTCCCCACCACCACCCAAGTCAAAGAAGCCCAAAGACCTTAACCACAGCAGTTCCCCAGGGCAGCCTGGGCATGTGATGAGGAGGACTACAGGGTCTCTTAAATAATTAAGCTCAAGTATTGGCTGGGGCAGCCCCCATGCACAGACGCAGGCACACAGGCTGTGTGGGGGAAGGAACCAGGTTTAATCAGGTCACCTCAGGCTGCAAGAGCAGCTCAAGCACGGATGTATTTTAAGGAGCATCTGGGAGGCTGGGGGAGGGGGAGGAGCCAGGGAAGTGTCAGCTCCTGCCCGGGGGTCCTGAGTTTGTTTTCTCACCCTCCCAGGGCCCACCATGCACAAGCCCCCAATGTTCGGGAAGCCCTTCCAGTGTCATCCTTGTGTTCCCCATCCTTTCTATTTTTAAGCAACTGTACCCATTCCTCCCATCTGCTCCCCTGTGATGGGGACTTGGGGCTGGGACATTTTTATTGGGGGAGTTGTTTTTAAGCTTAGCAGAGTTGGTGAGTGACTCACCCAAGGTCATGGTCTGAGTCAGCGCAAAGCCAGAAATAAAAGCTCGAGTCCTGGCTCCCCAGGAATTCCACACCCCACTCCTCCTACTCCAGGGGAGGGTGGGTGCCGCCCTCAAGGAATGGCTGGTCTTCACCTCCCCAGACATCTCCAGAGGGCAGGCATGCTGCATCTGACCTGTTGTGTGAGCTCAGCAAGGCTCTTCACCTATCTGAGCCTCAGTTTACTCTTCAGAAGAATGGGTATACTAATGGTAGTTACTGCAAAGGGTTCTTATGAAGACGAAATGAAAAAATGGGGCAAAGGGCTTGGCACATGGTCAGTATCAGTAGATCACTAGATGGTGTCTGAGGCTCACATCAGGACTTCCTATGCTGCTTTTTTGAAATTATTATTATTTTTGAGACAGAGTCTCGCTCTGTTGCCCAGGCTGGAGTGCAGTGGCGCGATCTCAGCTCACTGCAAACTCCGCCTCCCAGGTTCACGTCATTCTCCTGCCTCAGCCTCCCGAGTAGCTGGGACTACAGGCCCATGTTAGCCAGGATGGTCTCGATCTCCTGACCTCGTGATCTGCCCATCTCGGCCTCCCAAAGTGCTGGGAATACATGTGTGAGCCACCACTCCTGGCCCCCATGCTGCATTTTAATAATCTGTGTCTGTTCCCCCAACTGGACTGGGACACTTTAAGGACAGTTGTCACCCTCATGTTTGTTGTTCTGGTGCCTGCAGTCAGTTTGATTTCATTTACATATGTGTTTTTGAAAACCTCGGAGGAGAGTTGGCCTGACCTTCATTAGTCATCTGGACCAGCGATGATTCACGTAGCTGAAGACAAAAGTGAGGTCCAGAGAGGAGCAGGTGCCTGCCCCAGGTCACACAGCACTGAGTGGCTGAGCAGGCTGCCTTTCCCTGATCTGCCCAGACTGAGAGGACTCACGGTCAAGAGAAGACCATACAGTCTTCTCATACGGTAGCTCACGCTTGTAATCCCAGCACTTTGGGAGGCCAAGGGGGTGGATCACCTGATGTCAGAGTTTGAGACCAGCCTGGCCAATATGGTGAAACTCTGTCTCTACTAAAAATACAATAATTAACTGGGCGTGATGGCAAGTGCCTGTGATCCCAGCTACTCGGGAGGCTGAGGCAGGAGAATCGAGAATCACTGGAACCTGGAAGGTGGAGGTTTCAGTGAGCTAAGATCGCGCCACTGTACTCCAGCCTGGGTGACAGAGTGATACTCGGTCTCAAAAAAAAAAAAATAAATATGGATGGGTGTGGTGGTCTAACACTCTTTGGATCCAGCACTTCGTTTGGGAGGTTCTGATGTGGGGTGTGGAGGTCATCTTTTAAGGTTTTCAGGAGTTCGATGACCTAGCCTGCACAACATCGGTGCATACCAACCATCGTCTACTTTTTAATAAATCACATCAATATATTTATGGCAGGTGTGTGGTTTAACCGCCTGTAATCCCCAGCTAACTCAGTGTGAGGTCTATAGATAGCGGAGTTAATTCGCTTGAAGCCTCGTGGAGGTGGACTGCTGCAGTGAGGCTTGAGATCATTGCCACTGCAGCTTTCTCAGCCTTGGTGAGGATGTTAAGCATTTCCCATCCAAAAAAAAAAAAAAAAAATATAAGCTGCGCATGGCCTATAGGCACAGTGACCACACTGTATTATGGCCTCAAGCCTTAGCGAACTGAGTCTGTTTTGCAGTCGGAGCCATGATCATGTCCATCCATCTCCTAGGCTGGGTGATCAAAGTGAATAGCCTTTGTCTTCAAAAATAATGAAAAAAATAAGCGGGGATCTGATTGATATCGTCTCATTTCCTGCCCGTCATTCTCTCATCCTTTGTTTTGGGCGGCGAGCTGACGATTTGTATGTCTAGATGCCTCCCCCCTCAGCATGGTTGTGGGTTTTCCATCTGCCAAAAAGGCTGAGTCATCCACCGCAATGTGCCATGACATTTCTGCATCATCAGTCCTTCTAGGTTATATCCCAAGGCCAGCTGACATTTGATGTTTTACTTTTCTATTCCCTTTTCTGCAGTGTCATTTCGGCGGTTCATGCGGTTTGCTGCCGGGCAATGAAGATGAGCTGGTTGCTAGCCGCAAAACGCTAGGTGCCGTGGGGACCTATCGGGACTGCCCCAACTTGCAGGGGGGTACTTCGCCATCAGCGCTCTGTTCGCGTTCTCCCGCTCACCTGTGGTATTGGATGTTAGCGATGAGCCGCCATTTGTACAGGAAGAGCGGAACTGAGGACGAAAAGGTTGAGATGTTGCAGGCACAGTTGCGTCATGCCTGAAATCTCCATGCACCTGTTCAGCGGAGGCCAAGGTGGGTGATCTACCTGTCAGTCTAGTGAGTTCGAGACTTTAGCTGGCCAACATGGTGAAATTTCTCTCCATCTCTGATTTAAATCAAGTAAATAAATAAAAAAAGAGGCCGTGGCCCACAGTTGGCCTCACACTGTAATCCCAGCACTTTGGGAAGCTTGAGGTGGGTGGATCACGAGGTGGGAAATATGTGACTCTTCTGGCCATTAACATGGGTTGATAACCTTCTATCTGTACTTAAAATACTTGTTCAAAAAATTAGCTGGGCATCTTGTGTGGGTGGTGGCTGCTC